TATATATAGAAGTCTGACATGTTGTGGGTTTGGTTTTATTGATATTGGAGGAATATAAACCACGAAAAGAAAATGAAAACAAAAAATTATTATGAAGCAATAAATCTCCAAATGCACAGGAACTCCATTGAACCACGACTAACGCGAGGGCAATGGCTATAGCACTTGGACACTATCAACACAACTGCACATATGAATGATCCATGATACCATCCTTAATTTGCATCCATTTTGAAGATTAACACAAACAGGTATGCTTCAGTCAGTCAAAGACCACGAATTTTTGGATGCATATATAGAGTTGCAAATCGGAGTTTCAATTCTCAGAGAGGTAACATCGCTAAACTTAAACAAGTTTATGAATCTTTTTCAAAAATTCCACCTTTTGTGTTGAATTAGATGTTTGAAAATAGAGCTAATGGAGTTGAGGATGTGAATAGTGTTGTTATTACCACGGGGAGTCTTAAATCTACTAATGGCACATAATTGATTGAACCCTAGAGCATCAAAGCTCTATAGTTAGCTCTGAAGATGTGATGTTTGTAGAAATGCAATAGAGCATAACTAGAGAGCAGCCATATGGGATTCCTAGAATTTTCTCCACTTCTCTTGTTAGACATGATTCACTCATTCAGAGGATATAATGTGCCACTTCAATTCCATACATAATATGGTGTTATTTCACGATTATGATTATGGGGTTGTAGAATCTTTGAATCATGAGCATCATAATCAACACTATTTCGATCCTTTGCATAATATTACCATCTTTTATGATGATAATATGGAAGATGAAGATCATATAGATGACAAATACGGGTGAAGCTAGAGGTGACGATACTAATCAAGTCCAGTTATGGGTAGAGTTTCCTTCTTCAAAAAATAAATTTCCACCATTAGCTCCTGGCAGTTGTTTAGTACAGTCAAATGATGAAGTTCAATACACTCCTGGATCCTCTAAATCGACCTTAAATGTGTTAGTTCCTTCAGGATAAACCCCACCAATGGTTATGGAGTAGATTTTGATTCTATATCTGAGGAAGATGATTCAGACGATGACATAGAGATGAATATGGATATTTTTCAAGTAGAATAGAGAACAAACTCCTCAAGAAAAGAAAACAAAAGATGTTTTAGGATTTAAATTTGGATTCTTTGGTGAACAAGAAAAAGGAATTCCTAGTTGGATACCGAAGAAAAATTAAGGCAGGGAATGACTCTTTCTAGATAGAAAATTCTTGTTTTGCATGGTTATAAGAGCAATATTGGAACTAGAAAGCCATTGTATAGAATTTAGGATTTGCCAGTTTCTACCAAGTTTGATCTGCAGGGGTATCGGCCTAATCCCCCTCGATCTATGAGTTTGTACTTTGCTTTTGCTTTAATAAAAAGTGGTTTCTTTCTTCTTCTTCTTTTTTAAAGTTGCATTGATAGTTAAATGAGTGAGCCTATGTTATGTTGATAGTTAAATGAGTTAGCATATGCCATTCAGCTGGTTAATATATTTTCTTTAGATTGCTGTTGCTTTTATTCCATTTCCAAATAGTGTACTAGAGCTAACTTCATCTTATCAACTTTTCCATCTCCCTTATAAGCATGAAGAAAGCTTGAACAAGTTACCTCCAAGATTTTTCTACTTAAAATATACTGATTCAATCTTACATGATCTTTTAGGTATGGAAACTTATTAGTATTACAATTCTTATCAGAAAGTGAACTCTTCAGTTTATTACCAAGACACAGCTTACTCTTCATACATCAATGCAAAAGGCAAAGAGTGAAGTGCCACTGGTCCAAGTTGGATGGAACTTAGCCAAACTAATTGAATATCCATGGCCAACATAAACACAACCATAGCTAACTGATACACCCCCATAGATAGTAGCACCAGTGTTAAATGTCCACAAGATTTTACCATTACTGGCATCCATGGCATAGAGAGGGCCATTAGGAGCCACAGATCCTGCAAAAAGAAGTCCATTAACTATGGTGACCGGCCCGTGGGCCGTGTCGTTGCTAGGGTCTGCAGTGGTCCAAAGGATTTGGCCCGTGTTTGCATCCAATGCTACCCATCCACCAGCTGTTGTTGTTTGATTCGAAGGTGCTAAGGTGAAAGGAACTCTATTTCCATTGACTATGTTTGTGTAAACTCGCCTCCCATCTGTGGCTGCACCCCATACTCCTCCTCCCTCCAAGCTCCCTGGTCCTGCTTTCTACATCGCACAAAAATTCTTAGATTAGCAAATTTGTACTAATATTTCACGTTCACAAAGTTGATTCATCAAGACATCGACTTTAAATGATCAATAGATTTAACTTAAAGAAGTGTTTTTAGCCCATAGTGTATTTTAATTAGTTATAGCAGATTATTTTCTTTTGTTCGTATGTTACCAAGTTAAGTTTAATATAGGTTTTACATGTTGTTGCATGTCGCTTAACGTCAGTTGCAGGGACAAGAGTTCATACAAAAGGGGATGCACAAAATGTACTAAAATGTCGCACATAGATTTGAACTTATGACTTAAAAGCCATTTTTTAACCCGCTTAGCCACTACACTAGAATCTTCCTACGTAAAGGGATTCAACAGTTAATATATAACAGAAGTGTTTGTTTTTACCCTATACACAGTATAATATTCCAGCGAAGGGGATTTAACCTAGTCCTCCCTAACCCTGCTCAACCCGATGGCGTAAAACGACTATGTAATATTGTTAGTGTTCAAAAGTTAAATAACCAAAAGCAAAATGCTACATCATGCTAATTAAGCTCTTGGTTCACAAAATTCTTACTCAGTATAGAAATCATTAAAATATTATTTGTCAAATTTACCAGCAAACAAACGCTACGCATCCTTTCTCTTGTCAAAATTAGTTTGCTCTTGTGTTAATTAAATGGATGTTTCAAAATTGACGAGTCTATTTAATACTCTAGAGTATGGGGGAACAAAAGGTCACCATTGTATCTATATATGTGCAAGTGTGCAAGACAGATGTACGGAACAATAAAATCAAATAAACATGCAGCTGCAACATTAAAACAGCTTGTTCACAGTAAAGTTACTCCTATTCTTTCTTAAGTTACTAATATCCCTTCCAAAGTTAAACTCGTTGAAAAGTTATTACTCGTCTGTTCTAGTTACAACAATCTGATTAGTATTACTTCTTTGATTTCTACTCTGCTTCTCACAAAAGCATCGTCTCTCTTCTGTGTGTTAGTGTTAAAATGTTTCTGCCTATATATATA